AAAATAAAAATTAAAACCACTTCCTTTTCTAACCAACTTTCTCTTCTTGGATGCTATCATATGTTTTAATCTTCTTTTTTTCCTACAAATGTTTCAAAATGAAATTTAGATGTCGACTAGGAGAGTTATTTTATTTCATATTGCTTAGTACTATTCTTCCTGAACGATGAGCGAAAAATAATAAGATAAAGATAAATATTCGTTATTTTCTACGAATTTTATTGCTATATATGGCGGAAGCAAGATTCTAAATTTTAGGTCTTACAGAATTAACTTGTTTTGATTCAGTTGGTTAGTTTAGTCCGAGTTGATAGTATTAGGTTAATTAGTTTTGAGAGTTATTGGGTTATTTATTTGGAAAAATTACAAAAACATCTATAAACTATAGAAGGATTAGAATCATACCCTCAAAATTTTCAATTTCATCAATTGCTCTCCTAAACCTATGAAGCTGTTGCTATTAAACTTTTAAATGCAACAAAATGTATTAATAATCCTTAAAGAATTGTGTTGCAACTCATAAACGTAAGCTTTTGGGTTGAGTGTGTTTGTACATTTTGCAAAATTTATATATTTAATTGCAACACTTAGTAAATTTGGGGTGACTACTCAAATGTAAAGTTGAAAAATGCCATTGAAACAACCCGCGTAGTTCAATGGTAGTTTTTGGTTATAAAAAAAGGTAGTTTTGTAATTTTCCTTTTTGTATTTTCTCTTAAGGTTATAAATGGCCAATAATGAAAAGTAATGGATACTCTCACAGATTATTGAGACTTCTTGATAACCTTATTTTTTAAAAAAAAAAAAATTACTTATTTTCTCATACTTTCTTGGATAATATTTTTTACTTTGTTTTAGAACCCCACATTTTTTTTCTTTTTAAAAAAATTATTTTAGGACACATTTGAATCTTAGCCAAATTTAAAAAGATAATAATAAAAGACTACTTTTTTGTTTTTAAATTTTAGTTTAAATTTTGAAAATAACTTTTAAAAATTTGATAACAAATAAAGAAAATGAAAGTAGTGTTGGTAAACTTATTTTTCAAAAACGAAAAACTGTAAATAGGAACAAAAGAGTTTTACATAGGATTTTCTTTCATTTTGGGAGTTTTCTCTATGATTTTTTTTAATTATTATTATCATTGATTATCGATGTCATCGTGCGCAAACCCGTTGCATCATTGAGTTAAAAAGTAATGTAAATAAAACTTGGCCGTGATCTACATTAGCGATAAATTTTTAATTTTAAAATTTGAGAATTATTTATCAATACCATTCGCTTTAGGGTCTTATTTGAGTATTTTGTCTTTAAAAATATTTATTATTATTAAAAATTTGACAAGTAATTCTCATTTAAAAGAAAATAGAAAAAATATTTTTTAGGTTGTATTTCTCTTTTCTACTTGTCAAAATTTTAACGTTGGCCAACAAAAAAAAATGAGGGTAGTCCACGAACCATCACCTAAGTATTATCCCCTTATCTTAGAAGAGCAACTTTTCTAGAAATATTTTATAAATGTGTGTGATTGAGGTACTAATTGGTAAAGATCTTGATTATAGTTCTCTTCAAATTAATCATGATTTTTTATTTTTTACTAATTTG